TGCAGCTCAGGACAGATTACACAGGCATGTGGGGGGATCTCCATCCTTGGAGGCTTTCAGAGCTTGGCTAGGAAAAGCTACAGCGTTGGCAGTAGTCCTGCTGGAGCAGGATGCTGGACTAGACTTTGGAGGTGTCTTCCAGCCGGCATTTTTGTGATATTCTTTAATATCCTCTCTAACTTTTATTGGAGTGGAAAGTATTTCATCTTGACCAGTTACAAATCCAGACTCTTTGAATATAGGATGGATTTATTTATTGGAAAACTCCTGCTTAGTCTGCATTGCTGTTGAAAGCCAGGTCGAACTAATTGCACAGAAGACAGCTGTGCCAGGAGGTGAGAGCATGGGCAATCACAGCGAGCAGATTTATAGAAGGGAGGGAATACGTAGCTTTCAAAATCTTCAGAATCACTTTTTGAATCGTGATGCAAGTTACAAGATACAAAAAGTACTGTTAATACCTCAGGGAGCAGTCTGGGTTTGACACATGCACACACAAACCCACCCCGTCCCTGCTAACGCCCACTTCTCAGTGCACTGGTTGCCATCGGCCCGGGGAAGGAAGCCAATTAGCCTGATTTAAATACCCAGTGGGAGATACTGCAAAAGGTGAATGCACAGCCTAGATAGCGGAAAGGTAAATACGATGGGAGCTTGTCTGTCTGTCTGTTTGTACTGCAGGTACAGAGATGTAGCAATTATGTTCTACATAATGGTGCCAGCTTGAGAGCTGGGAGATGACCGTCAGAGCAGAAGGGAGTTTGCAGTGTGCTGGGGGCTGCCTGCAGGGATGAGGCAGTGAGGTTCCCGGCTCCGAGCTTACCTACAGCTGTTTGGGGAACGAGAGGAGGGTGAGGAGGGACATGGCAAGTTAAGAGAGCAGAGAAGCACAAATAGCAGTCTACTGGAGGTAGAACCAACTCTGTGCAGTGTAGAGGGAGGGTGCGATGGAGGAGGCTTGTTGCACAGTGACTCCTTTCCAGTCACCCATGAAGGGTAATGGGTGCCAGGAGTGCCTAGCCTGAGCAGCAGAAGACAGCCAGGCAAATGTCCGTCCTTCAGGGGAAGCGTGAGAGGCCTCATCCTACTGCCATGTGAAAACAGGAAACTGCCATGTGAACAGGAATGCCCTAAGGGATATCTGGTGTCTTTTGAGGGCTGTTGTGCATGAAGACTGTATGAATGAATTGGAAAACAGATCTTGTCATCTCCACTCATTTTTACTGTCAGTTGGCATGAAGCAGGAGGCCAGCATATTCCTAAACTGCAGATGGCAGAAGCTGCTGAAGCGCAGAGCGGAGTGTGATGTGTGACACATGCGGACGCACATCTGTCTGTGGAGCTGGGGGAGTGATTCTGGCATATGCGTTTGGGCCCGGACGGGTAGGAGCGTTTGAGTGACACGTGCAGTATGGTTCCTATGTTTGGGAGGTTGTTAAGACAATTAAGAGACTGAGCAGCAAACTCTACCTCTGTCTGGAGGGCTGGCTTGGTCCTACGGCCCTGCAGGGTCTCTGGGGAACAGGTCCTCAGCAGTCGGGGGCTTGCTGCAGTCATTTGTCTTAGACCCGGCCGTGATTGCCTGTGCAGGGCCGAGGTTACCTGATGTCTGTAGCATGTTGGTGCCCAGCAAAGGGGTATCTGTGTCATGTCTATTTAAAGAGAGCTGGGAATTCGAGAAGTCAGTGTGGGTTTAGCTTAGACTTCAGGATTTTGGGGCTCTTTGAGGGCTTTATAACTCCCAGCACTTCTCTGTGGTGCCTGTCATCAAAATTTCCATCTCCCTGTTGTGACTGCTCCACCTACCCCAAGCTGACCAAACTTCAAGAGTGCATGACCTGTAGTTACCAAGCCCCCTGGGCTGCTGTGAGGGAAAATATGCTCTTAATTCTAAAAGCAAGTGTAGGTACCGAGGCCCCTGATGCAGAGCTGTGACAAAGGGCAGTGTAGACCCAAGTAAGAGAGGGCAGAAGTAAATCTGCCCCTTCCTGACTTCTTAAGGCTTGTTGGCACTTGTGGTTCCTTGCTTTATGGAGTTAAAACTATGTTGAAAATTGACAATCTTAGGAAATGCCCCAGGCTAAGAAACCTTTTGCTACAAGGAGGACCTTTGCAAAGCCCTGAGGAGGGGGAGTCCCCTGCTTTTCCAGGGGATTTCTGTGCTAGGCATGCCTAAGGTAAGACCCGATTTAATTCACTTTTCATGTAAATGAGGGACACAACCCAAACACCTTCTGATTTGCGTCCCATGGGAGAGGAAACCTTGAGTTCTCGCTGCGTGCACTTGCTTTTGGCCTACGTGCCTCCCTTGCTCTCTTTAGGCCGGCACCATTTGGAGGAGATCATGTACAACGAGAACATGCGTCGCTCCCAGCTGCTGATGCTGTTTGACAAATTCCGCAGCGTGCTGGTGGTGACCAGCCATGAGGACCCCGTCATTTCAGTTTTTCAGTCTCTCTTAAAGTGACTCTACCGGCAAAGGAAGGGAACCTGCTACATTCTCCATACTGATAGCCTAAAAGATGCCTAAAAACTCAAGGAGGTGGTTTCAGTTCCTTCTTGCCATGTGACATAGAGCAGGTTCTCCCCCTCCGTGCCTCGGTTTCCCATCTGCTCCCTGTGGTGACAGCTGAGGACGTTCTGTGTGAGGGCTCTGGGGCCTGCTGCAGCACAGCACGCGCTTGCTCGGTCTGGATTCCTGCCGCGCCACGTTCACAGCACGGGAGCTGCCGGTTCGCAGCCCTTCCCTGACCCTGCTCCCTCCCCAGGCCTTGTGACAGCGGGCCAAGGACATTTCCACTGCAGCATTATTGACAGTACTTCACCTTTGGGTGGACGCTGGTGCATCAGAAGTGCTTTCTCTGCTCTCCAACAACATGGCTGCTGGGTCATTCAGCCGCGAGCACCGTTTGCAAGCAGCCTGTCCCCATGGCAGAGCGCGCACGGCCTCTGCTCAAGGGCAGAGGGAGTTGGCCTGGCTTTTAGGGAAATGTCCCTGGGCGCTGAGGAATTCTGTTTGATCACCGTTATCTGGCAGCAGGGAGGACACAGGTTGGAAGGCAAAGTATCACAACTAAAGAGATTCATGAATGAGAATGACTCGCTTCCTGTGTTACAGCTTATTATTTCCTCTCCCCAGCATCCTTATTACCAAGTGTCTGTTGGAGCACGGCTGTCACCAAGCAGCCTACGTGTTTGCGGGTTTTCAGGGTTTCCAGTTGTTGACTGGGGGTGGAGTAGGGAGCTTGGTTGTTGAGCAGGACTGAAATTAGCTGGGCAAGCTGCTAGTGCATGGCCATATTAGTTCCATGCAGCCAGCAACTGGTGCTAAGGGCACTCAGACTTGTCCCCCGGGCCTTGTTTTGTTCCTCCCGTCCCCTCCCTGCAAGCATGGCTGTGGCTGCAGGGAACCAGACTGGGAACCTGGCCGGGGTTAAAGCTATCCAGCTGAAAAACAAGATACAGCCTTTACATGGCTGCATTTGCTAATCTGGTTCAGGACTGCTCCTCCAGCCGTGCTGGGACTAGAACCAGAGGCGACAGCCCCGTTTCTGCGGACAGGAGGAGCTTGTGCCAGCGCACCCCTCACAGCTGCTCACTGCTCTGTGCTGTGTACCCAGGGAAGGGCAGGGGGGAGACCTTCACCTCCATGGTGGCAGCTTCCAGGGCTGTGTGTTGTTAAAAGACTGTCAGGCTCCTTCTTAAGACCTTCCCTTGTACCACACACACAAGCTGGAGTTTTTCCCAGAGTTGCAGGCTCTCGCAGAGCAGCTTCATTTGCCCACACAAACTGGGTGAAACTGTGAGCTTTATGTAACTTATCTACCACCAGCAAGGCACAGTCGCGCCGGGGGAGCCCGGTGTCCACTGTGCACCAGACACCCAGTGACAACTCACGGTCCCTTTGGCGAGTCTTCCCCCGCAGCTGCGAGCAGGGATGTTATAGGAGAGCAAGAGCAATATCCGACCTGAAAATCAGATCAACGTTGCTGCAGGGCCCCAGTCCCAGCCAGCCCCCAGCAACTGCATCTCAAGGTGAGCTGCTGAGATCGGCATAACAAGGGCTCTTCAGAAGGGGCCAAATGAGGTTTTTTTCATGTGATGGGGACAAGGGTTTTGAAAAACTTGAGCTTTCTTCTTGCATATGAATCCTAAGGTGGGGGGGGGGGTGTCCTTGTCACCCTTCAGACTGCCAGCATGGTCGCAGTTCTGCGGGTTCTGCCCTAAATCCTAGAGGTTTTGTCCCCCCCATACCTCATGGCAGGCTGCAGCATCGCAGAAGTCTCAGCATCGGTGCTTTCTCTCTGTTGGGGTTCACACAGTGGGAAGTTTTGAACTGGTCTCAAAAGCAGCTGGGAAAACACAAAAACCATTCTGGTTCTCTAAGCTGGGTGTTATAGACTGGTAAAGGTTGGAAGGGGTCTCCGGAGGTCTTTTGTCCAAACCTTTGCTCAAAGAGAATGTGTTGGATCAGGTCACTCAGGAGCTTGTCCAGCAGAGGTCTGAATGTCCCACAGCTTGGGCCCCTGTTCCAGTGTTTGACCACCCTCATGGGGAAATTTTTTTCCATACAGCTAATGAGAATTTCCTGTTTTCCAGCTTGTGCCCATTGCTTCTCATCCTGTCTGACAAAGGCCTGGCTCTGTCTTCTCTGTACCCTCCCACTAGGTAGCTGTAGACAACAGTAAAATCCCTCCTTTACCTCCTCTTCTCCCAGCTCTCGTCCTTTGAGTCGGCCCTGCTGCCATCCAGTCTTTTGACTGTTGCCCTACAGCCACCAAACGATGGCCTCTGCTGGGGGCCAGCAGTGCTGGGAGCAGCACAGCAGCTCAGAGCTGTGAACCTTCACCACTCATCCACTTAATTAAGCCTGGATCTATTGGCAAGGGAGAAAGCGGCCTCCAATGTCCAAACCCAACCTCAGTTCTGGCTGGGAGACCCACGCCAGTCTGCCCCACAAATAAAATTCCACCTTGCCCCATTCGTTGTGATAAAGTACATTTATTGTTAAAAACCTCCAGGCCACTATGTCTGCCCTAGCTGCTGCCATGACGTAGCCTGAGGCTATCATACAGAGCACAGCTCAAGTCCTGGTCGGTGGCACCCTTGCAGGACTCGTCAGCTGCAAGAGAAGTGTCCCATTGCTGCCATTTCTCTCTCTGTTTTCTTGTCTACAACGCTCACAAATTTGTTTCCTCGTAAATAAAACCTGAGAGGTTTCTGTGCCCACTCTCCCCTGTTGCCAATGCCAATCCTTGTTGTGACTACCACGTCCTGCTCCCCCGGTAGGTCATGTCCAGGTACCATCCAGATGGCTGCATCCTGAGTCAGGTCCCTTTGGTCGAAAGCCTTATCGATCCCCAATGCTTGGCAGAGCTTGGAGGGCCCATTGCACAGCTGCCAGTCCTTCAGCAGCTTTGTGGGTCCTTTCCTTGAAGCACTGCGCAGCTCTCTCATCGCATCTAAACCCTGAAGAGGTTCCAAAGAGCGAAGCAATACTGCAGCCCCTTCCCCTGCGCAGAACAAGAACCACATGTTAGTACAGGGTTGGTCATCGACAACATCTCGGCTTCCAGCCCCACCGCCAGCAGGAGCGCTTCAGCTCCGAGCCTGTGGCTCAGCTCGGCCTGATGGAGCAGGGAATTGCCTGCAGCGCCCAAACACAGGGTCTGTCCTTCTCTCCAGCCGCTTCGCTTCAAGCGCCAGGCTTTGGAGTCAGTCGCTAACCCGTGGTCAGCGCACTCCCTTCCCTCTTCTGACTGTCCAGCGTCCCACAGCTCTGTGTCCTTTATTCATCAGTGCTGAGCTGCTCTTCCCCCAGCCTGCTTCTTGATGTTACCAAGTCTAGCTGCTGCTCCAAGGCTTGCCAGAGGGCAAGAGGTTTTTCTTATGTCAGCACAGCGTTCAGGAATAAATACGCATACGGTTCAGTTTTGGCATAGCTATCCAAAGCTGCTCCCAAACCCAGTGGATTTATAATAAACTCTGATTACAAGAACTCCAGCTAACAAAGGAGAGGAGGAATGAGTGCGGATGCTGCCAGCAGAAAGAGCAGCCTGCAGAATTAGGCTGGACAAAGAGAAACCTGGGAGGGAGCTGCAGGCACGGGGAGCAGCTGCTGAGGGAGCCCTGGCTGCAGGTGTTACCAGTTCAGACACCCACTTGGAGGTGTAACAGCAGGTGGGATGACCACCGCGTTGGGTAACTGCACAGCTACAGCGGAGAGCGATCCAAACCCTTCTGCCAGGGAAGCTCTCGCAAGACGGGGACCCGGGGCAGGACCGTATCTGGCTGCAGGATGCACGGCCCTGGGAGCATCGCTTTGGCAGAGAAGACCTTTCTACGACAAGAAGTGAAGAAAACCGACAGATTCTCTTCTCAAATGGGATTTGCCACCCTGCCAGGAGCTTTAGGAAACTCCAGCTCGCCACAGCTGTTGTGATCAGCTGCCCTGCCCGATTTTGGTGACAGTGAAGCAAAGATGCAGCTCTGAGCACAGACATTCCCCTGGGACGAGGACCTCCAGCCTAAGTGGGACATAAAGAGAGCCTTGGTATTTTCCACTGGACAGCAAGGAAGGTCTTTTTGTGACCTTGAGTGGGCGAGGAGAGAGCCTGGTAAAGCGGTCTGTGTGCTGCCCCACACAGCACCCCTTGTGCTGGGGCCGCCCACGGCATTCCCCCCCGCCAGCATCTGCGTGCTCGGTGATGCTGCTCTGCAAGAATCCCCTCTCCCTCTCCAGCCTCAAACATCTGGAGCCATGCTCCCGCCTGGCAAAGGCTTTTTTTGTAGGCACTGACAGATCCCTAAGGACCTGCAATTTCCAAAAATAGAATCCCTCTCATATTTTGTACAAATCCCACACTAAATTACCCTCCGGGGTTCCCAACTGAGCCGATCAGCTGAGGACCTGATTTCTGGCTTGTGAGGTGTGCCTCTTGCCCTGAACCTGCTCAGAGCTCCTGCTGCCCTCAGCACAGCACGGTGTAGTCAACAGACTTATTTCCAACAGCTGTCAGCAATCTGTTCCCAGGCACTCCCTTCTCTAAGGAAGGGGATTGATGCTAATCTGGCAGCCAAAAGCTGCTTCCCTGTACTACAGTGATTTAGAGCTCAAAGGTCATTTTAGATTTTTAAGAACATGCTCCATGTCCCAATTCTGCTTTTCATCCATGCACAAAGAAACATCCTTCACATCTGGACGCTGCCTCACTCGCCAGGAACAACTGTGGGATTCTGAGAAATCACTAATTACACTACTTGCCTTCATCCATCACAAATGCAAGTAGAAACCGTGGTTAGACTTGGATTGAACCGAGTCCTTGGGAGTCCATGTGAAGAGAGACAAGCATTTAGAGAAACCGTAGGTGCTCCTGGAGCACCCGCAGAGCCATGGCAGGGGGCACCTGGCATTTCTGGCTCTGGCTGCTCTTCGTGCATTTCCACCAGAAACTTTTCACCCTCTTTCTAGCTGTGTGTAGCACAGACCCCGCACTCTGCTCCGAGCCAGCAGCCCCTGAATGTGACAGCAACACCAGAAGAGCTTTGGGAAGAGGAGGAGACAGCAGGCAGGATAAGTGCAGGGATGCCATGATGAGCTGCTGCCTTCTCTGTCCCCACACCCCTGGGCTGATGTTCGGGTCCTCCTGAGCATACTTGCACATCAGAAGTTTTATTTTAACTACCAAAGAGTAGCTGAATCCTTCTGGCTCATCTCCTACCTGCCAGCCTGCCTTCCTCCCTCTCTGCAGCCCACAGCAGCTCGCTCTCATGGGTTATCTGGCTTCAGCATCTGCCCGACATGGACAGGGCCACTGACACGCCACCAGCAGCAGTGCCAGTCCAGAGATGCTGAATATCTACCTCCCATGCTGAAGAGTCACTCCATGTAATGAGTAGCATTCAAAGCTAAAAGCTGGGATCTAACAACAACGCAGGGGCCAATTCTTTCCCTGAGCAGCTAGAAATCAAAAAACAATAGGGAAGTCCCACACCCCCACTGTGCGGCTTGCTGCTCCTTCCCTGGAATGGCTCCAGCTCTCATTCTTGGAAACAGCGCTTGGCCACTGGAGAGAAGAAAATTTTTCTCTCTCCACCCGTCTGACTCACTGCTCCCGCAACACTTCCTTCAAAGTCCTAGGCTAGGATCCGAAAGAGGGAAGTCCACGCAGTGTGACCCTGGCTCTGGGTAGAGCATCACTAGGATCTTGATTTTACAAGCTGTTCTTTCAGATCTGGCAGCAAAATGCACACCTTGGCAAATTGCAGAGAAACAAATCACAGCAAAGTCAGAGAGAAGCGTGACTGGCATTTACCCGCTTCTTGAAGTGCGGGAAGCCCAACATCCTTCTTAACCCTAGGGAAAGCTCTTTGTACTAAGATTATTTTGCTGCTCGGGATGTACTGTAAGATTCATGCACACTGAAAGACCGCCATGGCTTCAGGCAGCAGCAGTATTTGACCCAGTGACGGGAAGACCTCTCACAGTAAAATCCCACACGATGCAGCTTTATCTCTGTGATGTGCACAAAGATTTCTCCTTCCTCAGTGACAAAAAATATTTGAGCCCACCTTTCAACTCATTATGGTTTTATGAACACCACGATACAGTCGAAGTCGACTGAACGCACTAACAGCCACAACTTCTTGCCCCAGCAAAGTGGCAAAACAACAGGCTAAAGCTGAAGTGCTTCTGATGTCTGTTGGCAGCATCAGGCAGGGCTGGGGACATACTGCTGAGGACACTACAGTGGTAGTGGCTCTCAAGGTAAAGTCTATGCCTTTGTAGCTGCTCCACCAAGCACCTCTCCCAGCACAGCTCTGCTGGTGACGCACCTTTTCCTAGCCCCGCATGACAGCGCCGAGGCTGATGTTTAGCATAAGCGAAATACAGAAAACGGAAGAGAAAGTTTATTCCACCTGGTATTAAAACAGATGATGCTACAAGGTTACGTGTCAAAACAAGAGAGCTCTGAAGAGCCAGAGTCTCATGAGCCAAATACCCCATTCTTGACAAGCTAAGCAGAAGGGAGCAAGTGGGAGCTGCATATAAAGCTTTGCACACCTTGTATCGGCCTCAGATCCTGAGCTGATTAAGGACCAAGGCGGCCCCAGCATGATTCAAGTCAGTGGTAAACTACGTTTTAATGCTGCAACAGTCCAATTCATGCTGCTTGCCTGGTCCCAACAGTGTGTGTGTCTGGGACAGCCCTGTGCAGCGTCTGTGCCAAGAAGGTAGCAAAACACAGGCAACACAGGGACAGGGCAGCACTCTGATCTCTCTCCAGTACGAGGAGGGCTGCTTTCATTAAGCTAGCGGCTCCAAATCAGCTCTACAGGCACTCAGTTCAGGAGTCTGAGAAGCAGCAGGACAGCAGTCACTGCCAGTACTTCAGAGGATATACTGGTTCTATGAACCGCTTGCC